TCGTACGGGGACCACGTACCCCAGAACATCCTACCCGCAACATAAGAGAGTACCCCAGAACATCCTACCCGCAACATAAGAGAGTACCCCAGAACATCCTACCCGCAACATAAGAGAGTACCCCAGAACATCCTACCCGCAACATAAGAGAGTACCCGCAACATAAGAGAGTACCCCAGAACATCCTACCCGCAACATAAGAGAGTACCCCAGAACATCCTACCCGCAACATAAGAGAGTACCCCAGAACATCCTACCCGCAACATAAGAGAGTAACCCAGAACATCCTACCCGCAACATAAGAGAGTACCCCAGAACATCCTACCCGCAACATAAGAGAGTACCCCAGAACATCCTACCCGCAACATAAGAGAGTACCCCAGAACATCCTACCCGCAACATAAGAGAGTACCCCAGAACATCCTACCCGCAACATAAGAGAGTACCCCAGAACATCCTACCCGCAACATAAGAGAGTACCCCAGAACATCCTACCCGCAACATAAGAGAGTACCCCAGAACATCCTACCCGCAACATAAGAGAGTACCCCAGAACATCCTACCCGCAACATAAGAGAGTACCCCAGAACATCCTACCCGCAACATAAGAGAGTACCCCAGAACATCCTACCCGCAACATAAGAGAGTACCCCAGAACATCCTACCCGCAACATAAGAGAGTACCCCAGAACATCCTACCCGCAACATAAGAGAGTACCCCAGAACATCCTACCCGCAACATAAGAGAGTACCCCAGAACATCCTACCCGCAACATAAGAGAGTACCCCAGAACATCCTACCCGCAACATAAGAGAGTACCCCAGAACATCCTACCCGCAACATAAGAGAGTACCCCAGAACATCCTACCCGCAACATAAGAGAGTACCCCAGAACATCCTACCCGCAACATAAGAGAGTACCCCTGTATGGGGGTGTTCCCACATCCTGTATGGGGGTGTCCACTGATGTTTCCTATGCTTCTAGCCTGCGGCTACAGTATCGAATTGCCGATGCTTCTCGCCTGCGGCTCTAGAATCTAATTCTTGATACCTCGCGCCATCGGCTCCAGAATGAAATGTCTATGCTTTGAGCCTTCGGCTCTAGAATCCGTTTTCTGATGCTTTGAGCCTTCCGCCCACAATCTGTTTTCCTACGCTTCTCGCCTGCGGCTCTACAATCTACTCTCTATGCCTCTCGCCTTCGGCCCAACAATATATTTGCCTTCGCCCAAAATATCCAACAACATCCGTTCCGTATCTAATCTTTGGGGGCTCTCTGATCTGGGTACTCCTATCTGCGTGTGTTTGCTAACCACCTTCGCCGCTCTGATATTTCGGTCTCTTACTTGCCTGCATATTCTCGTTACTACTCTGTTCTTACCACTGTGTCCTTGAAACGCTCATGCTGTTGCTCTCATGTTTCTACTCCCTTGTTTCTACTCTCATCCTACCTCTCCTTGTGAAATTGTATCTTTCGATCAATTGCTGCTCAAATCTATATTTGCCTTCCATGAAATACTCCAAGAACATCCGTTCCGCGTGTTTTTATTACTGTCCTGCTATGTCTCGTCTCACATCGCCCGCCTCTGCTATCTGTGCTCGGTTCTCCATTCTAATGTGTCTCTATTCTCTCCTTGTTACTCTTATGTTTCGCCTCTGTCAATCCATCTCTGTATACCAATATTTGCTTTACATTTACTGCCGCATAATATTCCATCTGCTGCTTGTCTTATTTTCCCCTACTCTACTTCGCTGTCCCCCAATATTATAGTCACCTTCGACAATAACTACATCATCCTATCAGCATTTCACCTGTTGTGTACTCACAACTTGACACTACTCTGCTCTCTTATTCTCTACTTATCTACATCTCCTACTCTGGTGTTTATACTCTAATATCTGTAAGCTGACTCTGCCACCCCATTGTCAAAATCTCTCGTTCCAATTGCCTGCTACGTAACAACTGTATCACCCTCTGCTAAATACCCGCTCTACTCATATCTTACAATATCTCCTTCCAATTATCTACCCCAACAATTTAATCTCATTGCTCTATACAATATATCCACTCGTTGTCTTAACTATACTATCGTGTATCCTGCGGCGCACGAACTTATTATATTCTAGAAGCAGTCCTACTTCCGGTCTCAGCTTCGCAAATCATTGTACACTACTAACACAACAGTGTCTACTACCACTTGTCTGCAACCCCAAATGCTAATGTGTCCATTAACAACATCCACTTCCGGTGCTCGGTTCTCCGAAATATGCTAACAGCTAGTATAAAAAATGAGTCGACTATCACTCATTTACTTTGCTGAAATAACCTAGATTAGTATTGTTGACATATTGCATCTATGCACTCATCACCATGAGCATTAGAAACTAGTGTTCTCTCTCCATCTTCCTGTCATTGACTCCCGTCTCCATGACTGACCTTCGTGTCCTGCATATAATAGTAACCGCGCTACCAACATTCTCCTGCACACAATATCTCCTATGTTTATTCTCACTTTCCTACAAATTATATCTAATATATATATTATCATACCTACATTGCTATAAAATTTACTAATCTTGCTACAAAATATATACTAGTATTTTCTCTTCCCATTTCTAGCACAAATACCAATATACTATATGTTACTAAGTGTTACTACGCCCACTGTCCAACCTACAAAATACTACCCGCTATCTTGTACATCCGTCTTACACATTCATGTTGTATGGGTTGCTAGATTCTGCTCTCTCTTCGAGCAACTCCCATGTCTACTCATTGCTGTTGCTCCCTTGATCAGCTTGTATTACCTTTGATCGAATGCCATCTCCCACTGCTTACGTCGTTGATCGCACCACCGCCACTTACCTACTCCACACTCCCTTCTGCCCTTGTAATTCTCCAGAAATTCTTCTATCCATCGCTTACTCTCCAACTCTTGGCTAGTTCTTACAGTTATGGCATATCTGCCTGACCAAATATAACAAACTATCCATTCATATATATATTTACTTAACTACTGTTGTATCTTCACGGTATTAGTCCCATACTCGATCTCGGCCCAAAATGTCATTTAGTATACAAATATGATGTCCGTTCTTGCTTATTGCATCAAGCCAGTGGGGGAAGTAATTAATCGTCAAACCAAGTTGCCTTGATCTTCGAAGATCCCTGAAAGCTGGAATGCAAAAGATTATATAGAACAACTCTATGGCTTGGGAATACCGGCACTCGCCACTATGTTTTGAATTTCCGCATTGCCGACAATAATTATTATGAAACTGCGACATTTGAATCAATTTCCTTGTATCTGCATGCATGTACTCTTCACCGTATCTCTGAGCCTTCTCGTATATTCCTGCATCTTCCGTTGGAATGGGGTCTTCTAACAAATATTCATTCAAAAAGAACGGATGACGCAAGAACTTTCGTAAGTGGTCAAGTTGGTTACCATAATCGTCAACCAGAAACAAAGACGGAACCCGCAAACAGTTCGTAAATTGTTCCACTTTATCCAAGTATGTGTCGTAAAGATGCTTTAAATTATGATTCTGTGCCCACTGATATATCTCATCACCCCAACCATTCACTTTCATGTCCTTGATATCATCATAAGTTATGTCGTCGAGTATCCATTTCAACACTAGTAATGCCTTGAACCCACCTCTCTTGCACTCTTTAACATGCTTTCTGCAACACTTTGTGCAGATGTATTCTGACTCTGGTAGTGCATCCATATGGGTCAATGGGTACTTCAAATACTTGGCTCCATTGTCAATTAGCTCCTCCAACCATTCCTCCGGTTCAAATTGCAATGCAAAGTGGTCAAGTCTTTCTTCTGCAGTCCATGATCGAAACTTCTTCGGTGCTGGCGCTTGCTCAGTTCCAAATTGAAGTTCCTTAAATTGGGTTTCTGTAGCACAATGGACGTTGTTCACCAAGTCAACTATATGTGGCTCAAGAATGCCTATCATTTGAATCACAACAATTTTGACACTTGCTCACCTTGATACTATTATAAGTTGGGCCACTTGTTTGGGTAAACACTTGCTGACTCTGATTCTTTCTTCACATGGGTCATAGTCACTTGAGTTATCCATACATTC